CTCTCTGATCTGAAAGCATTCCATTTAGCTGACATCTTTGTGTTCGATTTGTTAAGTAATTACTTAGTAAATCTAGGGCTTTATTACCAAAGCCATACCGTTCGAACTTGCGTAAAAGAATTTCATGGTTGACAGTATCGAATGCTTTCTTTAAATCGAGAAGAACAACTATGTTGTATAGGCCACGGTCCATGTTAATATACCATTCATTAGTACAATCTAAAAGTGTGGTAGTTGTGAAATGAAATTGTCTAAAACCAAACTGATGTTCTGAAAGAACATTCTGTTTTTTTAAATAATTATACATTTGGTCGTACAGAATCCTTTCCATCAGTTTGCTGACCGCAGGTAAAATTGAAATTGGTCTATAATTGTCTAACATAGTCCGTTGGCCTTTTTTAAAAATTGGAGTTACTCGTGCTGCTTTCCACTCCATCGGGAATCTGTCAGTGGCAATAGACATATTAAAAATCCTTGTTAAAGGCTCTGCAGTAGCAGGAGCTGCAGCCTTTAATACTTTAGCTGAAATTTCGTCGATACCTGTAGCTTTGGAGATAGTTAATTTGGTTATAAGTCTATAAACTGTTGCAACATTTACAGGTTGGAAAATAAATCTCTCAACTGGTTCATGTTGAGGAATGAAATCTCGAAAGCTACAGTTGTGTTCGTATTCAATTTTTTCAGCAAGTTTAGGACCAACATCGGTAAAATAATCATTAAAAACATTAACCAGTTCAGTAGTTGATGTAACTGTTTTCTCTGGTAGATTAATTTCGTTAACAATATTTTGCTTCTGACTTCTTCCCAGTATCTCATTAACTGTTCTCCACGCATATTTTGGGTTCGTTTTGTTATTGAGGAATTTTGTTGCATAGTATTCCCTTTTAGCATTTCGCAAGGCAATATTTGCAGCATTTCGAGATGACTTGTACAGCTTCCAATCATTTTCATTATTGGTTTTTATTGCTACGCGCTTAAAGTGGTCTCTCTGAAACAGCTTATTTTTAACACTTTTATTGAACCAGGGAACATTACCCTTTTTCCTTAATCTTTTTAATCTCTTCGGTGCGTGTTTGTCAAGCACTTGAAGAAATAAGGTTTTCCAGCATTCCCACATTTCATCCACGTTTTGTTTGCAGTCAAGCTCTACCCATGGAAGCATATACAAGTCACTAAGAAAGCTTTCAACATTGAATTTCCTAAAGTTTCTAAATTCAACCGAATTTTGAGAATTTCCTTTAATCATGGAATTTAGTTTACGTGTTGCATAGATTAAACTATGATCACTTATACCGAGATGCACCACGCCTGATTGAATAATTTTATCCGGAGAGGAAGTAATGCAAACATCAAGTAATGATTTTGTAGATTTAGTAACACGTGTAGGATCATCAATTATTTGTGTTAATTGGTACAGTTGCATTATTTCCTGGAGCATTTTAACATTCGACAAATTTGAATCGAGTAGATTACAATTTAGATCACCTAACATGTAAACTTCTTTGTTTTCATCATCCACTAATTGAATTAGCCTTTCAATTTTTGAGAAAGTCTCAACAGTTGTATTTGGAGGTCTATAAACACTCGAAAAAATGAAAGACTTACTATTGGCTTGTTTTATTTCCAAACAAACGGCTTCTAGATCGTTTGGAATTAAATCTGGACGGTTTTCATAGTTTACATGACACCTAATGTATATACATACTCCCCCTCCATTTCGTTTTCGATCAGAGCGCAGTATATCGTATAACCCTCGATACTCATAAGGTCGTCCGAAATAGAGGAGTCAAGGCGAGTTTCATTTAGTGCCAAGACATCCAATTTTTTATCATGCAATAGCAGGCGAATTTCGTCAAGGTGTTTCGGAAGGCTAGCTATATTGAGCATAGCCATTCTAAAACCTCTTAATTTAGGAATATCTGACCAATTTGTCTCATTATCTTTTCCCCTCGGCCTCTTATCATATCATTTTAATATATTTCCTATATTGGCTTGTAGTAGGGCACTCCCTTCATGAGTTAGGTGTAAGCCCCTGTGATTTAAATGTAAGCTGTTTATATTACTATTATCTATAAACGACCAATTGTTTTCTTCACATTTCAGTTTCAAAGCAACATTGGTCTCTTTTACCTTACTTGCAAATTCGGGATTATCCTTTCTAATGATCAAGGATGAAATAATTATTCTTGTTTTCTTCGATTCCTGTTTGAACTGGTGTGCCACTTTAGTAACTTTGTCAGCAACATTCTGCGGCGTCGAACTTCGTATATTATTTGTGCCCACGCGTATGACCAGTTTATCAGGTTGCCTTCGAGCTGTTGGCCTGAGAAAGTCGTTCATATCCTCCACGGTGGCGCCTGAAAAGGACTTTACTGCGACATTTTGCTCGGTATTAGATAGTTCCCACCCCTTCACGTATTTTATTATAGAATCTCCTGCTACAACAACAGTTTTCCTTTTCTGTTGTTGAGGCTGTTGTTCTTGTTGTTCAGCTTTTGCCTGTTCTACTTCCTGCGGCTTACGTGATGCGTCATCTTTGGTTGTCTTTTTCTTTGACTTGGATTTCCTTTTCTTTTTTTGTTGTACTTGATCTTCCTCAGTTTTCTGCTTTGATATTGCGCTTGATTCGCCGCCGTCTACTTGCTCGTTTTCCAGTACCGAATATTTGTTCTTTAATTTAATATTCGGGTTTATAATATCTTTTGACTGGGTGCACTCATCCACTTCATTGCACAGCTTTTGTTCAATAACATTGTTTTCTACTACGCTATTGGTTTCAGCAATTAGCAGACGCATGGCAGTAATTACGCTGTCCCTTTCTTGTTCTGCGTTTTTTGTCTTTTGTTGCAAGTCAGCTAGTATAAATGATAGGTTGTTGATTCTTTCGATGTTTTCATTATTTTCGTTTTTCAAAAGTTTGTTCTCGTCCATCAGTTTATAAATTTTTTCTTTTAGGCAATCAACTTCGTTTTTTGATTCTTGAACTAACAATGGATTGGAGTCCATTTTTGGTTCCCTTATGTTTTCTAGAGCAGCCGTATTTCCGTTTACTTCTTTGGTAAGAGCTTGTATTTGGCTTTGAAGGGCCTCAAGGGACAACATTTGGTCATCTTGTATGGAACGGCTATTTGCTGGAATTTTTTCGATAACATTAGGAATAGCTTCTTCGCATTGAATTCATTAACAAATGGCCGGTTAACATCATTATCTACGTCTCTCGAGTCATTAATATTCAAAGTCGAAGCAACATACGTCTCTTCAATATGGCCGCCCCGCTTCGATGCTTCTTTTCCACTTTTATTTGCCAGCTTCCCCGATATTACGGCAGCAGAATTGAATATCTCTCCGACTTCATCTTTTAGTTTACCGTTTAAAGTGATTGTTTGTGTATCGGGGTACCATCGAAGATCAATATCTTCGGATTTAAACTGTTTAGCACCTCCTCCGGGGCAGCACCAACCGCCATCAGCTAAATTCAATATTTCTTCTACAAACTTCTGTAAATCTTGTAAGGATTTTGTCCAAATCAACTTGCCTTTGTTGTTGAATGATACACCATGCAGAAGACTCATTTTTGGCTAAAATTAAGCTTCAATCTTAGAAATCAAGTGTCGAAATAGCGGAGCTAAAATAACACATGATTTGTTCAACGGAATTGACATTACTTCCAACAAGAGATTATACCATCTTAGACAGTGCAGGAAATCCCAATTACCAACAGAGGTTGGACTGACAACTTCCATATCCAAAATTAGACCAGTATTAGAGTACGCATCGCCTGTTTGGGCAGGAATTCCAGAATATTTACAACAAGAAATTAAACGTGTACAGACAAGGAGCCTGAAATTTTTTGATCTGGACAGAGACTATACCTGCCTTCTTGAAGAAGCAGGTGTGAATTAGCAACCATCCGAGAGATCAGAAGGATTCAAGCGGAACCAACCCACCCTTGCCATACTTTACTGCCTGATCCTAGAGAACACCAATATGAACTTAGACAAAATCATTCTTACACAGTTTTATCTAGAATCGAGAGACATAAGAATCGAGAGACATATATATATATAAATCTGATAACATTCTACTTTGTCTTTTAACTTAGCCTTTTTAATATTAGTTTTTTAACTGTAATTATTGATCTTATTTATTATGACTCAATGTAAATCCATTGTATTTTTAAAGATGCTGTACAGTCCGATCTGCGCATGTGCACAAAGGAAATAAATAATAATAAAAAGTTATTATACAAACAGCTTATTTAGGTTTTCAATTTATTTCATTTTATGTTCTTACAAAGCTTGATTGTTGTGTCTTGATAATTTATTATACTCTAGAATCCTGAAAATATAAATATAGTTGTCGAATAAAATTCTATATTTTGGATACCGAAATGTAAACAAAGCCTTTGTTTACATACGGACTGTACCGCATCTTTAAATCCCAAAGATGGATATTAAATAACTCCAGCGCTTGGGCTCGCTTCGCTAGTTTCCCCTTCCTGGGTAAACAGTCATGTAACTATCCCAAACCCCCTATCTTCACTGTTAACCCCACCCTAACCCTAACCAAATTAATCAAGATAATCCAAAATGAATCAACTTGTAAAATTCAGAAGATGATGTAATTTAGTTCGATGGTTGGAAACGACTGAAAACCCAAAGAGAACACTGCATTGTTACTGCTCTTCACTGAAATGCGCGTTTATGACGCTTAAGCGCTCGTTAATTACATTGATGAATCTTTGAGAAAATAAAAACAAGGACATTTTATATAAGTGTACTGCTCTTTGAAGAATACAATTTGATCGACATCAACAAGCTTTTATTGGTACAGTGATGCAACAATACCTGAAGAATACATGCAATTAGGAGAAATTCGACGTTTCGAGAGAATGCCGTCTGTCGCGAAGTTAGTAGCGTTTAGCAGTTAGTAACTTCCCGATGAAGGGCCTTCTTTCGAAACGTCTAATTTCTCCTTGTATTATTCAGGTAGTTGCCTCCCTACCAAAGATAAAATATTAACAAATTAACTTACTGTTCTAACTGATTTCCGGGTGGAAGTCAGATCTATTTTAACTTAGCAAGGCTTCAAAAAAAGGCGATAGACGGTGCTGATCCTAAAAAAAGGCGATAGAGAGTGCTGATCTGAGGAATCCTGGTAAACTGTTCCATAAAGAGACTCCACTGTAACTAAAGGAACGCTTCAAATAATCAGTTCGCGGTTTTGGGACAAACAGTTACTAAAAAAAAGCACTCCCTCTAGGAGATAAACATCTCTTGTAAATAAAGTGGCGTACTAGCTTTTATTCACAGTTTTATACATGAGGATAGCTTTTTGTTTTAAACTATCAGTAGTCAATTTATTGCACTTAAGCTCATCAAGAAGAGAAATGGATGAAATATTGTGGGGTGAGCAGGCTATAACACGGGCGGCCCTATTCTACAATTCAGGGCATTTTTTAAGAATTCATCTACAAAAAGGGACCATACTATACCGAGTGTGGAGCAATGATAGATGGTTTGTTGGTAACAAAAAGTTTGGTAGTAGTGGGGAGGGGGGGGGAGAGCAGGGCCGTAGGAAACTCTTTTCGTTTGGGGGGGGGGGGCTGAAAGCGAGGGCCGAAGGCCCGAGGAAATTTTTAAATTTAGAGTCTCTGTTTTAAATTTAGAGTCTCAGACTCTAAATTTTTAAATTTAGAGTCTGCCATTTCCTGGACTTTGGAGAAGATTTGACAGATTTCTGATTGTCAGAAAACAGCGTTTCTAGTATGTGGAAATTTAGAATTCAGTAGTACTAAATGGGCGAAGGTGTATTTAATTAACGATATATTGGATAATATACCCTGGAGAGGGTCTGGGGTTTTCTCTCCCAGAAAATTTTTGTATTTTTCTACCCCTATATGACTGCAATTCCTTGCATTTTCTGAAACAGATTTTTGGATATTCAGCATTACATCATGCTGCAGATAGACTGAACCTTCAGTTAAGTACTTGATAGTATGTTTATGTAGATACCACAACTTGGCCGTCACTTAGGGAGCCAGCTTGATAAACTTAGAATTCCCGACTCCCACGAAGCGCCACCATGGTTGGCACAGAGCAGGGCGAAGGGAGAGAGGGCGTAGAAACGGCCATACATCAAGCGGACCCATCCGTGATGCGGGCTTCGCGGGGGGTATAACCTGAAGTTCAGGCCCTATCACAGAATAGGGCCTGACACAAAACCTATCTAAAGTGTGGGATTCCCGTCCACCTGGTGGACGGGAAATCTGATTGGTTGATCAGCATCATGAAGGATTTTGATTGGTT